CATGCCACTGTACAGTATGACAGGCTGTGATTATCCTAGTCCCATGGCACAGCAACACTACTTATCTTTGTGTCACTTAAGTGAACGATTACTCTAGCAATGTTAAAAAAATGTTCCATGTCCTCCCTAAATAAGGCTGTTTGAGGTTAACTCTTTCAATTTCTTGACAAAATTAGTTTTGGCAAACATCCTGATTTTCAACTGACCTTAAAAATTGTGCTGCCAAGACAGCTCATCACAGATTTTTATTTTTTTATCTAACACTTTAATGCACAGGGTATTGGTGCATAAAAGGGTTTTATAACCCCTTATAAAAAATGTCTGCTGCCCACTGGCAAGTGTATGAGTTACTGTACATCATTGAATGCACAAAGAAAGGCTTTATTGTGAAAGATACACTGCAAAATTTGTAATCAAAAGAGACACTCACAACTCACCTTTAATGCACATTTTACTTCCATTCTACTAGGATCTTGTATTTAATGTTTTTTTGGGTTTCTGAATATCTATTTCTATTCTCTAAATGAGACATCTAAGGTTAGAATTTGGGAAAAGGACAATAGATTAGGATGAATGTTAACATGTTCACTTAGAAATAGGATTACACTGCCAGTCTTTGAGGGCCAAGGTCTTGAAGGTGCTTTTAGATGTATTTATTCCTACTATATATAGTCAGAAAATATAGTGGCACCTATAGGTATTATAACACTCTTCCTATTCATCAATCACAACTTCAACAGCATATCCGTTCATAATAAAATCTGACTGAACATACTGATCACGTTTTCAAGAACAATCACGTTTTCTTTTAATTTCTTATGAAAGTGTTGTCAGAAGATCCTTTAAAAATGTGTTTAATGGAAACCATAACCTTGATAATGTTGCATTTATGCTGTTTCAGAAGCAGATCAATAGTATACAGACATGTACTGTATAAGGATCACTTTTTCCACTATCATACAAGATATTGTAGCTGTGACATTAAGAAAAAATCTACACCCAAATTCAGGGTTTCGCTAAGAAATGAATTGATAAAATGGACATGACCAGATGTGTTCAATGGTACCCAACAGGAAAATAGCTGGTATGGGTACTTGTTATTTGAACAAAAAAACGTCTTTGTTACCCTCAGGCTTAAGTCACAACGCCTGTCAGAAGGGGCGGATTATGGCTTTTCTGTTTACACAACTTGTTCTTTGCTTTGATACAGACAACAGATGTACTGTACACTGACATCCACAAATATAGCATTTACTGAGTAGTGTTAGAATAAAAAAAAAATCCTAACATTAGACACAGTGTATCTATGTATCATCAGAACAATAATTTTGGTCTGTCTTCCTGCAGAGTCAGCCAGTTTCAGACAAAGGCAAACAGACTCCTGCTCTAATTACAGAGCTGCTCCTCTGCGGTACGTCGCAAGGCAACTGTTTTCACTGGGGAGTCTTCAAGGACAAAAGCAGCCAACCAAAAATCCCTAATGAAATGTTTAAAAAAAGAGTGAAACACACTCACACATACACCACAGCAAGGAAAAGCGAGGATTTTAGAGGATTGCTTTTAGGAACTTAAAATTCATGCAGAAAAAGAAGCTCCCACATTTTTTTATTTACAGTTCATAGAATGACCTCACAAATTAGACAAATTAGACTTCTTAGATTTTCCCTTGTATTCCTAAAAGCAATACCCTGTTTACCCAATGCAGTATTGCAAATAGCATGGTCTATATCTTTATGAAGCAGCAATTATCCTTCCTTTTATTGTTTAATAATTTTCATAGTTTACCTTAACAAATAAGATTATTGAGCCTTGCGAATACTATGTATTACATTTATTATTACACTACATTTCTGGCCATTACTAAAACAGTAAGGAATCATACAAAATAACATACAGATAAATCTGGAATCAAGAGGTACAATGGTATATTTCCATCCATCCATTTTCTAACATCTTCATCCACTTCTGTGTTGCAGGGGAGTCAGTGTACTTAATATAATGAAATCACACTTTGATCACATAACTAATACTTCTAGTTTTGTATTTCAAGTTAGTGGAATAGAAGCATAGTGATTTGTATTTCTGCCACTGTTCTGGGTTTACTTTCAACTTCAGAAGTATGTATGGAGTCTGCATGTTCCCTTCAGAAGTATGTATAGAGAGTGCATGTTCCCCCACACCAGAGTTTTCATGATTGCAGCACAACCAGAACTGCCTATATACGTAGTATTATAGAGAAACAGAACCTATGTGACCTTTCTGATATTCTGATGATGGAAACCTCCAAATTAAAAGAACAATCAAAGCTCAACAGAGTGTTCATCTGTACAATTTACTCTACACAAAACCTTTTTATTTCAGTGAATACATATTTTCCATGTAAAATATTTAACTTAGAAATATCAATATATTTTCTGCATTTTTTAAAAACAACTATAAATAAGATTAAAAGAAACTGATTGTTAGCAATCAATCCCAGAAAATCAGCTAAGTTAGAAACTATTAAATTAATAAACAGCATAGTCCAAATCTGCTTAGGAAAAGTATAGTTTGAACAAATAACTCTATCTATTACTGGATAAAGCCATGGTGAAAGGCTTCATGAGTAAAGAGATCTCAGAGATATCATATTATACAGATATAATAAATTATGGTCAAAAAGCCAGTTTCTACCTTCACCTACAGTATATGAACTCCTCTCCTTCTAAGACATAAGAAAAACTATGCTAATATTCAGTCACAGAAACCGTTTAGAAAAAAATGAGTCAGATGCTGATATTGAAGCACTTAGATATACAGATAATTGATTGAGATTTATTTTAAATATGTTTCCAACATCACAATCCTGTGAGCTTTTATGAACTGTATCTAAACTGTGAATTGTTGTCCCTTTGAACCTACAGTACCCAGTATAAGTCAAGAACAAGACAGATGCACAACACTTGAAACAGCTGTCTAATTATGATTTAATAATAGACTGGCCTAAACAGAGTTTATTAAAATATGAATATTGATTTTCATGGTATAGCAATGTAAAAGTCTATTCAATTGACCCATTCTAGATGTGTCTGTAAGATTATACATACATTATGATTAGCTCAAATGAACGTAACAGGTAAATTAGAAATTCACAAAATCAGTTCAATTGTGTTAAAGGCAAGCCCGTCAACAGTGGTCAGCCGATTAGTTATTTTCCTCATGGGTATAGGGTTTTATCCTAAGTAAAATCTTGTCTGACTCTTGAAATGACTTCTGTATAGGTCTCATTAATGATTCGTCATTGTTTCTGGGATTTACATTCAAAGTCACAAAATGTCATATTAATTTGATTGGTGGTTCTAAAAGTCACCTATCCCCTGTGACGATGGGTGTCAAAGAGATTTCAAGATGGCTTATACTGTTCAGAAAATCCTCAAACTTTTTTCCAAATGATAGGAAAATGTAAGAAAAAGCAAAATCATAGAACTGCCCACACGGTATCTCTACAAGAATGATGTACTGTAGCACCTGCTTCTAATCATCCAGAGCAATAGCTTTTTTTTACAAGTATTCAACCTGTATTCAACACAGAAAAAATATGTGAGTGAAGTGACTAAATTCAAAAATTGAGACCTGATTTTTTTTAAATGTAGACACAATTGTCACGGACGTCCAAAGGGACAAACCGTGGGGAGCAGGAAAGCGGAAAAAGACCCATATACGTAGCGGCGAGACAGGAAAAAGGCCCGGGCTCATAGTGCAAAGAGATCAGGAATGCCGTATAGAAACCTATGCCCTCAGGGAGCGGACGTGGGGCGCCCTGGTGCTAGGCGGGTCTCAGGACATCCGAACGTCAATGCTGAGCGAGGACAGAGTGCAAGACCCGGAAATATATAGCCCAAGGGAAAGAGAAGGACAGGAAGGACAGCAGACCGGAAACTAGGGACAGGACAGAGAAGGAGCGCCCTCTGGCTGCAGAGGGCGTGACAACAATTTACAAGCCAAATTGAAAAGAAAATCTTTCCCTTAAATGTGTTCTACAATTTCAAATCCATTTATTTTCTCCCCATTATTTATTTTTCTAGTTTTTACTTTAAATTGAACTTTTCCACAAAAACTAATGGTAGGGCAAAGTCATATGTGGTTATAATGAAAAAAACAAATGACGGAACAATAAATACATTGGTACAGTGCACAAAACCCACCCACTGTAACTAGGATGCAGAACTGCCAAAGACGTAACACCTCTACATCTTAGATGTCAGGGACATCCAGTACTAGACCCTGATTACCAGTTCTCATCGGACTGATGAGCATGTCTTAGCAGATTCCTTACAATTTACCTAACAACCTGATCTGACCACTTTCTGACTACTGAACATTTATCAACTAAATTGTCAACAATTTCTGCTCCTGGCTGGCAGATGTAAAAAATGTAAATTGTTTAGGTTATGAATGTACAGTAGTAAGAAAGAGCAAATGTATCTGAAACTTGTGATCTCAGATGGGTTGGGACTTTTGATCTTGCAAAAAACAAAAAATAAAGTAAATGGTTAAAAAATGTTTTAAGAAATACTGTATTACTTTTTGTTATCGCCTGCCTTTCGAGCATAAATATATTTACTGCCATTTCAATAAAAAAAAACATAAAATCCAAAACAGTTTATCCAATCACTTAACATCTAAAACCAGAAAGTAACTGAATTCAGCTTAATATGAGTCTATAATTCTTAACATAATTAATTAAAAGTACATCTGTGCATACATATAGACATATTGACTATCCTGGAAGGAGATATGCACCAGACATCTAATTACATTATACAAGGACAGAAATCTGCAAAGAAAAACATTGCACTGCTGTCTAGTAAATGCATTACATATCTGAAATGTGCCATCTGGCAGAGATAAAGGGACGAATAAGACAGCATTATTACCATTCTTCAAAGCAATTATATAAAGAGACAAATGAATTGTTGATTATTGAATTTTAAAGTATTAAATATTTTTCTTACACTTACCTCTGACATCAGGTGAAAACCTTGCAGAGTGACGTGAAACGAAGAGCTTGAGTTCTTGATCTAAATTGCACTCAATGAGATTGGTGTCCCATGAGCGGATTCCTGTAAAACAAACACACACCACACCAACTCAGTGAGATACAGAAGAAATTACGTGTCATGCAATTTATCCACCATGTGGTGATTAAATGCCAACGGAAACAGATTCAATATTTGGGAATCAATGATGAATTCATTTCAGACACACATATTTTATTCTGATAGGCACAATGTCACCTTTCCTATCTCAACCTTTCCTATGCATGGTAGTTGAAGAAAAAAAATATATTTTCCAAATGTGTTTTGTAAAAAAATAGTATTTTATCATCTATGATAACAGAAAGCCAGAAAGACCTGTACTGTATGTGATTCTGTAGCAGAGACTGCAAGACAATTTTGAGATGTCAATAGCCAATAACGTCCTTTTCTAATTATTTCAAAGCAAATGGTACAATATGTGTTACTGTAATTAAGTTATCCATATTTTTACAAATAAGGGAAGAACAAATTCAGATTTATGGGGTACCCAAAATCCTCTGGTAAAAAGGAATCATTTCAAGTATTCATCTCTCTCAAATAAATAAACACATTTTCTACATAAGCTAATTTAAAACATCTATTTTACTATTTCCCTTCCCAAGTTAAACAGCCTGTCCCCTTAATGAAAATATTTTAAAATATATTGATGGCTGGGGATTAACAAGGAAGCAGAATTGTTTGGTATTCATTAAATTTTTAAAATCAAAATGAACAAACAACAATTATGCCTAAAATCCCCACTAACTTCCAACATACCATAGCTTCATTGAAGATTTCATTCATCTTTAATTTCCAGTCTTAGTGGTAATCTGCCAATTGCAAGAAAGGTAGTTCTAATGGAAAACTGTCCTACCACATAAATTATGAATACATAAAGAAAAAGATCAACTGCTAATCTCATTCAGCAACCGAAATAATGATTATACATCCTCAAAAACTGTTCTACTAATGTACAACATTGTATTACGTATTCAGATTTTTGAATAAATAAACATTTTTTGATAAAATCTAACACATAAGGACTGAAAATGGTACAGTATTTTGCATTCTCTAATGGATGTTTTTGGATGCATTGGTTACTCAGATGGTAAACACATTTTTGGCTTTATTATTAAGCTGATATACATTACCTCCTGCACTACAAAAAACAGATCTATGATTTACAATTTACTTTTTCAGATTGATTTACAGTATGTCTTTCATCTTTCCATGCTGACTTTCATCTTGTCTTCTCTTTGTAGACCATTCATTGAGCCACAACTTGTTTCAGTCATCATTTTCTTTAAAACCACAAAAATATAGCCTTCAATTTAATATTCACCCAAACCCATGTCTATATAAATATTTTACAATTCTGGCCATCATGCAACCTACAATCTGTGAGCTTCAGGAAAATGTCTTTGTATGTTGGCAATTGTTTCAGTTTTCAGAAAACAACTACATGAGTCACTGGATAATCCCTGCCCTATACTGGTACCACAGACTGCATGTTAAACAAGACATATCAAATAGACAGCACTTTGGTTCTTTCACTCAGGGAGTTGTTTTGATTATTTTTTTAATAAACTATCCTTTAAAATACAAAAGGAATGATGGCTTTTATGGTTCTTATGGAACCAAAATACGGTTTTACTCTTCATTCTGCAGTCCTTCATCAGTTAAACATAATCCAGCAATATCAATTAAAGATATACATATCAAATTATTGCTTATGATTTTGGAGACATGGTATTGGTATTTCTGGTATAATAAAGTACACACTGAGAAGAGTGGCTCAGCTTTCACAAGCAGACAGTCAAGAAATAACAGATACCACCTACCTCCTGCGTGTGACAAAGACAGGCACAAACCTTTATGCGTATTTAGTACTTTTGCAATACTGTACATACTGCACTGTTCAACAGCTTTAGTCAAACCCTAAGGTACTTGACTTAATGAGGGGTAACTACTAGAGGTACAAATTTGGCTGAGGGAATAAAACCTCATTATAGGATGAGATGCCCTTAGCACTGTACAGTAGGAGCTGCTGCAGAAGGGGCAGAAAGGTGAAGAACACTGAGATAGGATGGAGGAGGGGAGCTTGTATTAATATGTAATCAGGTAAGGTCTGTCTGCTCTCCTGAACTTTCATTAGGAACTGCAATTACAAATATAATTATAACACAGCTATAATTCTACTTAATTACAAGTAGAATAATACTGTAGGTGTTCAATAAAAATCCACAAAAGTGTGAATGTCTTCATTACTTTGTTGTAGTTATGTTGAGCCTTACAATATTCCCCTTTCACATACATAAAAATGAAACAGAAATCCAAAATCCAAAGAGAAGGGGGGTATATGGAATACAGAAAATCCAGATAACAGTTGAATTGTTTTTTGAACAAGTTCTAATTGTCTGCTGCATCTTGGTTACCAAGAGTCTCTGTAAATCTTTCCTATTTTGACCATCTTTTTACAAAAATATGTCGATTCCTGATTCTGTAGTATTTTAGTTTTTGAATAGAGTATCTTAATTTAATTTTGTATTAAATAAATATATAGAACATAACAAAATTAAATACTTCCTCTTTATAAACAGACTTTAATCTGTTGTCTTTCAGCTGCTTCTAGCTGAGAAACTGCTTTATCCATAATTGATGAGAAATTCAGTAAAATAAGGGTCTACCCAAAACCTAATCTCAAGTTCTTTGAAATGCTAGTCCTTCAGTGGGTTATAAATTAAGATTTTTTTAGAATATAAACTTATAGCCCATCATCGATTCTAACACACTGTAAAATACTTTTGATAAAAGGAATCACAGCAAGAAATTACAGTAACCTTATCCTAAATCTTTAGTAGGGTGGTGGGATTTTTGTTTTTATGTGCACAGTGCTTTGTGCTACTGCAGTTGTTTCAAGGTCTTGCTTCAACATATTTTTTTGCTTAATTGGGCAAACATACTGTACTACTTTTCTTCCAGAGGTTAAGCACTGAATATAAAAATACTAATTAAATCTTCCAGCACTGCAGCTCTTTGAGGACTAGAAATTTAGATAATGCAATTGCATTATCTGAAGCAGTAGCTGCTGAGAGATGGAATGCACCTGGTAATTTTAAATTATGACCAAAAAACTTGATTCTGAAGGTCTCCAGCAGCAATGCAAGTTCTGTATACTTTGTTAGGGACATGCCTCTCCTTTGATTATCCTAACAAAGAAAAGCAGTTATGGCTGCCCAGCTCTTATACTAAGAGGTTTGTGTAAATGATGTACAGTACAGCGTTAGTACAGAATGTGATGTTGTACATACAAAGCTCGAGCAAAATGAAAGACTGACGGCTCTGTATTTTCTAAAATAGGGGAGGAAATCTAGACTTGTCAATCAAAAGCCTAGACTCTTCATGGTTTTGGTCATTCCTTAATGTACAGAAACAGATGGCAGGAAACATATGCTACAATTTGTCATTGTAAAAGCAGGTGTTCCACATAAAGCTGATCAAAGATAAGGTTATCAGCCAAAAACTTATTTTAATAATGTCAAAAAGCAACCTGGATGTATTCTTAAGCTAGATACTGAACTAATTTCTTTAAGGCGTGCATTAATATCAAGTGTGTAAAAGTTATTCTGTGTAAATGAACTTCAAAATGGCAAAGGTCCTAATTATGATTCTACTTTATACAATATTTGCAAAGTATGCCATCTGGCAAAAATCATTATTAACTCTGGGTGGTGTACCTGAACAACTTAGTTACTGTAGGTTGGTACTCATATTACTACTGTAGCAGTGTTACTACATTGGGCATTAAGAATATAATATTGACAAATACTGTATAAATAGCACCCTCAAATACATTGTGAAAAATATATAATATACTGAAAATGGCTTCTGAGCTTCCTTTGGTAGTTTATTAACAGTCCTGTCTTTTTTGTCTTTCTTCCCTTACCTTTGAAATAGCCTAAAGACGTATTTTCTGAGTATTTATATGCTTCAGCAGCTGCTCAATCTAACAGAGAATCAATCAGTGGAAAACACTAGTCAAGAGCCAGGATGAAGTATCCATTATGCCATAGCCTGCTGACAAGAGTTGTGCCTTGCTGTAGATGTTGTGGATGAGGCAGGATTTAAATAACATTTATTTTAGATGATTCAGTGCCACAGTGCCAAGACCTTTTCACCTTTTCAGAGATACACCTTTTCATATCATACTTGTATTAAGAATGTGCAATAAAAATCAGCACATAAGGAAGAAGGTTCCCTCCCCGCTTAAGCTTTAAAAATACCTAATAAGCAGTACAAACAGGCCAAGGTTAAAATCTTAAACGGAAGTGAAGAAAATACACCAAAAAACAATGCAGCGCGGTTTTAGAAATTTCATTAAAAACGACATTGCAAAAAGCAGATATTGTCCATTATTACAAATATACAGATCTACAAATATTGGCCATTGGTAATCATTAACATATCAACATTTGTCTAAATTGTTTACTAACCCTGAGTAGTTACACTGAATATATTCAGAAAGACAAAACTAAAGGAATACAAATGTGACAGAAATGTTTGATACAGAAGCAGAATATGCTTAATTACTGGGAACTACAAAAGATTACCAGGAACCTAGACAGATCTGGGAGACCAGGGAAAGCATAGACAAATCCAGAAAGACTAATTTTTGGAGTGGCCAGTTAAAATTCTAGGCTTATGGCCAGTATTGGTTTGGGAGAGCTCCAAGGAAAATGAGTTTTCTACTACAAGTGGAGTTAGGGGCAGTAGCTGTGGCAATCTTCCTTCTGGACCAGAATTTACCAAAAAGAAGCAATGCTTCAGAGCTACAGAATATGCTGTTAAACCAAGGCCCTGACTACAGGTCATTAAAGATCCCACAGCACTTTTTGAAAGAGTAAACTCTAGTGTTCCGCTCAAATTACACTTTTGGCTTGTGTTATCTTGCTCTCATGAAAATGGGCCCTTAATTTAATTGGAGATACAGTGTCTCAATCTTCCACCTGATTTGATATGTAGTGGGACTGCTGGGCACATAATGG